TGTAATTATTCATATTATAATATGACTCATCTACGTTTTTGGGAACATAATATATGTATAACAACAATATTATACCATTTATACCTATTGTATTGCATAATATGGTCATTAATCGATACGAGTTTTTTTGCAGGTGAATAACACCAGGACAGATGATTCAGACTGCTGTCTGACTGTGCCGTTAGTGGCGTCTGCTGGAGACAAAATCACACTGACCGTGGAAAGACGGAACAACATGCCAAGAATTCAATTTCCTTAGTCGCGTTAAAAATTTACTTATGCGTTTCTGCACAGCATGTCTTACAAACTCGATTCCACGAAAGAAATTTTTGTTTTATGGACTTATGGTTGTATAGACTCCTCGTGTTCTATATACGTTTGATTTATGTATTATTTATATTATTTTTCTTTTTCAAAACGTACAACGCTAATATTACACGATAATAAGCAAAACTCTAATCCTATAATAAAATCATCGTAACTATTTTATAAGTACTATTCGTTAATATGTCTATGTTATTTTAAGTTAAAATCTATGTACATGTTACATTTTTATATTTAATTTTTTTATACTCATTATTTTTATTTTGTCCGTTAATATAATAATTTTAAACGTGTTTATTTATAAGAGCGCGCGATGTCTGTACATGATGTTTTTGAACTGGATATTTGGGTATAATTGAAAGTATACTATAATAAACAATAATTTAATAATATTACCATTTGTGATTATTTTATTTTTTAGGAATTCTTATTTTTTTATTATACAGTACACATAAAAAAAAATTAATATGGTATAGAATGTAAATAGAAGTATTAATTAGTTATATACGCTATGCCAAGGCGGTGACTTGTTTATATGCGCGTGCGAGAGGGATCCACTATTTTATTTTACACGCAGTCTCACACTCAATGGTCACTTATAATATGTTATAACGTACACATTTAAAAGACCTACATTCTTACAATTTGGAAATGGTCTATTTTAAACAATAAAAATTGACCATTCATCAAAATCAATGTCAAACAAGATTATTTATATTTAAAAATTTACAATATGACATATGTTAAATTTATGTATGTAAGGTTTGTAAATTGAATATTTTAAAGTTTCTTATAAGTATACATATAGTTCACAATGAAGCTAAAAATCCTAATTTTTGTATACTTGCTATAATCATTATTATACTCTGTGCTATAATCGTGACTAAATTATATAATAATAGTGAAAAATAAAAATATTGTATCYCATATTGGATTTTAATAGTTCAACAGACTACAAATAATTAAGTATTTTTTATGTGTTTAAATATTTTACACGTTGGCAGTTGTATAATGAAATCATTATGTTGACAATTAAAAATTTAAATTTATTAATCCCTGGCTCACAATGTGTTTAATTTCCTTGAGATTGTTCTATGTGAGACGTGACCATGGTCGTAACCATGAACTGACGGTAACTGATTTCTACTATCTGGTTACCGATTCCGGTATACAGCTTGCTGCATTTTTTTATTGGGTGAAAATTAAAACTTGAAGCTGCACATTGGTTGACTGTGTGATAAGCACACATCAGAAAGCACACGATATTACATTATTTATTTCTTGATAGTTGATATTGTGCTGTACTCTCAGTTATAAAATAATAATTTATTACTGTTGTGTTCATACAATTTTTAAATATTATTGATTAATATTTAGTTTAGTAACCAACACTTTCAAACTATACGTAAGTAATGATATATAAATTCATTATTTTGTACGTAATTTAATACCTTCGTAACTACTTCAAAATCTGTTGTCACAGGAATATTTTCGTTTCAAAATATTCAATATTGTGTCAAATATTTGAAACATGTCAAAAGTTGTAATTATAACGATGATTCATCGTAGTTCAGTATTAATTTGATTATGTACTTAAAATTTTTTTTTTTGGGGTGGATTTCATATCAACATTTTAATAAATGCATATTTTGTTTTTTCTTTAGATAATTATAATTATCATAATATGATTGATGATTTCAAGAAACATAATATTCAAGTACCTGTTAATTTTATATTTTTATTTCTTTAGCAGCAATATGTCAGGACGCGAAGGAGGAAAAAAGAAGCCTTTAAAAAACCCTAAGAAAGAATCTAAAGATTTAGATGAAGATGACTTAAAAATGAAACAGAAATTAAAAGAACAACAAAAAGCTTTGAATGATCTTAAATCAAAAGCTGCACAAAAAGGACCAATGGTCAGTGGTGGAATTAAAAAATCGGGCAAAAAATAATGTACGAATCRCGTCATAATTAAGAGAAAAACATTAAAACATCCTATGTAAATTACAGATCTTCCTGTATGATGATTTCAAACTAAAATACAATGCTTTGTTATTTACTATGATAATAATAACAATTTTATTTTATACTTCAAATTATGTTTAATATTTTTATAGTTTTATAAGTTCAAAAAAAAATATTATTTATTGGAATCATGGTTCATAAGCCTATATCGTTATCAAACAAAATAAAATGGCTGTGTAACTGTGTAATGGTATAGTCCAATGGTAAGCAAATAGCTAATCACAGAAGACAATAAATTGAACCATCAACATAATATCCTAGAATGAGTTTGTCTTTATATTGCTTTTATGATATATAAATATTTTATAAGAATTCTCTGGACCTTATTCATTTTTTTAATTTTTCGGATATGCTGATTCTTTGTATTACACATTGTATATTAGGTTGTCCCCTTATAGTTTATACTGCCATTTTAATTTCTTAACTTGAAGAAATKATATTGAGGGGCTACTATAGCAATAATCTAGTATTATGTATCTTAAGCTATGATTTAAATGCTACAAATCTACCTTATCATTTAAAGCAAAGTCTGTTAATATTTTTGATTAATAGTTAGGAGTAGACGATTGGCTAATTTCTATTACACCAATGGGTCTTAAGAACTACCATAAATAACATACTTACATTTAGTCAGTTTCAGATAATACATTACACTATCTCTTGAGTAAGCTTCTATTTGAGTGTAGTGTTTGAATATCAAATATGTGGCAGTCTACAGATAAGAAGTTGAACGAGTGTTATATGGTATAAATCAATTTATTTTGATTTGTGTCATATTCTTTCACTTTTGATGAAATCATTAGAAAAATAAGATTTTAAAATGTTGAGTTACTTTCTACCTTTGAGGTAAAATTACTGTCTCTATGTGTTTAACATATTTTCATAAGTCTGGGTCTTCAGATTATATGTTCTGTTTATCTAGGCAAATTTGCTAAGATTAACACTAACAATAAGCACATAACCTCTGAAGTATGACAAATGTATAGATTTTTAAAGCCAGTGACTAATTTTGTCAATTTTCTATAAAAACCTAGGTATATTTTATACTCATTTCAACCAAATTAAGCTTTTTAATTACATTAGGTAGGCATATTAAACGTTTTTGACTATAATTTGTTGTGAATAAAAATTGTATAATAAAGAATTATTCTTAAATTAGAATGATTTAACAATACATTATAAAGTATATAAGCACAATAATGAGATGATATTTCACTTATTCTTCATCATAATGTATTTATTCTTATGGCAAGCCAGTTTACCTTTATCAAAATATCATGTAAACATTTTTTTCAGACTTCAGCACTATTATTAAGCATTGGTATGCTTATATTATGATCTGAGGACTAAGTATTTAAGTATACTGCATGTAGCATGTGTAATATATCTGATATCACAATATTTTCTAAGTTGCTTTTTACCTATAGAATTTTAAAATTTCAATATAATAATATGTACACAACCCATAGAGTAATTACTCTATGACACAACCATAACCATTAACCAATAAAAATATTAATTATGACCWTAATTTAGGTTTAATGATACCACAGAATAACTACAGATTATTGATAAAAAACACGTGCTTGTTAGAATATTTGATAAAATAAAAAAACAAAAATTTTTGTTATATGTCCAACTGTCCAAGTGATAGTGATATTATTTATTTAGTTATATAGTTCTAAAATCAAAAATTCAGAGATTCAGACTATTATAATATTTCATACAGAAATTGTGTTGGATTTAATATATTATATAGCCATATAAGTAAGTGAATCAAGTATGCAACCAATATAATCATTAAACACACAATTCCATTCATCAAGTTGCTCAAATAGACAATATTTGTTTTCAAAAACATTGCTTCTCGTTGTTTTATTGGTTTTAGATACTTTTCTCATCATGGATAAACGATTCTCTAAAATTGGGGATGATCCAAAGTTTAGGCGTGTACCTAAAGCTGATCGTAAGGTTAAGATTGATAAACGGTTTCAATCAATATTTAATGACAAAAGATTTAAAGTTAAATACACTATTGATAAAAGAGGAAAACCCATACATGGATCTACTACTGATGACTTTAAAAAATTTTATCACATGTCTGATGATGAAAAAGATGACACAGATTCTGTACAAAATTCTAGTGAAGACGTTACTCAAGAATCCGAGTCAGAAGAGCAGACATTAATTGAAAAGGATGATGATGTAAAGAGTAATATAATCAGTAAAACCATCAGAGATCGCTTGAAAGATAAAACAGTAGATTATGCTAGGGGCGATGGTGAATTAATGTCTGACAGCTCATCAGATGACGATACATCTTCTGATGGAGAAAATGAWGGTAAATATGTACCTAATCTATAAAAGTTAATTATATTGTTTAATAGTAAACTGCTGATGGTGTGCATTTCATTGTTGTTAAAATTACCGATTCTATATGATTCAAAATATCATGCCCAACGTAGTGATGTTCAAAACTTCCAGTGACAAATTCCGGTGGTTTCACGATCGTGATCTCCATTTAAGGTTTTTCAACACATAAATATAAAATACAAGTCTAAAATTATATTCAATTGTAATTTTTACTATTATATGTTATGTAACCAATAGCAATATTTTAATAAATTCTTAAATTTGTAAAAACAAAATCAAGTACCACTCGTCGAGATAAATTATAGCCATAGACCTTCGGATATTGTACCTTTCTGATGGTGAAATATTTATTTTAAATTGATTAAGTAATTCCAAGATTACCCTAAACAAACAATTTTACTTCTTTATATTGTATTATTATATAGATAAATATTCTGTATTTAAATAATTCATAATATGCAGAAAATGATGAACATTGTTGGGGAGAATTGGACAAAGATGCTGATAATGTGGAGGAAGCCACATATAGGTTAGCTTTATGTAATATGGATTGGGACAGAATTCAGGCAACCGACTTGATGATTCTTTTTAATTCATTTTTACCAAGTGATGGTTACATCAAATCTGTCACTGTAAGTTTATAAATGAATGTCTTTATAACAATCACATGCTTATAATATTTCTTTATAGATTTATCCATCTGATTTTGGAATTAAACGAATGCAAGAAGAAGAACTTAAAGGACCTCCTGAACTATTATCTAGTAACCCTAAGGAAATTGGTTCGTCTGATGATAGTGATCAAGTAAGTTCAAATATTTATTKTAAGCCATTGTTTTCATTTTTAAAGTTACCTACATGTTTTTTTTATTATTATTATTTCTAGGAGGAAGAAGAAGGTAGTAAATTTCATATGGAGAAGCTACGTAAATATCAATTAGCTAGACTTAAATATTATTATGCTATTATTGTGTGCGACTCTCCTGGAACTGCTGGTAAAATATATGCAGAATGTGATGGTATAGAATATGAAAGCAGTGCCACGCGTTTAGATTTACGTTTTGTACCAGATGATACTGAATTTGATCAAGTAATTATATGATTAACAATTAACAACGAGCATAATACAGCATCAATAGGCAATAAGTATTTATCATTTTACATGTGTCTAAAGCTGATAGAATTTTATATTTTGCAATGCAAAATTCCTCATTTGGTCTTTAAAATATTTATTCATAGTTAGTTGTTTGATAGCTGATACAATCATTCATTGTTTGAATATGATGTTAAATTGTAAATAATTATGAATGACCAAAGTAGAATTAATTAATTTAATAAACAGGGAAAGGAGTATAAACTTGTCTAGAAAATAATTTAATGAAAATTGTAAGAAGTGAAATTATTATCATTAATGTTAGAAGGTATTCAGKATAATGTTTAAAGACTTAAATTACTATGTATTTATGCTCCACTTCTGACTAGCTCTCCAACCAATTTTGCTGTCCCAATGCACCAGTGCACCACTGATTATATTTTTAACAATCCAATTAACCCCATGATGTATCTTGGAAATGTATATTACACCCTTCGTTTTTACACTAATCTATAAATCTGGTTTTGTTTCACTTCCGCTAAATTGCGATTTACATTTTAATTAATTTAGTTTATTACTGTACTTTGGGCTATGTCCGTATTAAAAAGAAATTGAACTAAATAAAAAAAAATATTAAAGAATAGAATATTGTATTATAATAAACCTTAATTCTATTAATAGATTATTATTAATATACCAATATGACGTGTATTGTGTAAATACCTTTAGCTTGGATTATGCCTTGAATCTTTTTAATATGCATACTAAATTGATTCTTTTATTAAGTTTTTATAATTGTATATTTTTACAGGAACCAAAAGAGGTCTGTGATAAATTACCAGATTTAACAAAGTACAAACCCCATTTATTTACTACTACCGCTTTACAACAAGCGAAAGTTAATCTCACATGGGATGAGACAGATCCAAGACGTAGTGAATTAGTAAATAAGCTTAAGACAAACCCAAAAAGTGAAATCAATGATAGTGATTTACAGAAATATGTAGCTTTTAGTTCTGAAGATGAGGATAGTGATGACAAAAGTAACAAATCTGTTGAGGAAATGAATGATGATGGTGCTTCTAAAAAAAACCCAATTGATAAATACAAAGAACTATTACAAAATATACAAGATGAAGAAGAAAAAAAAGCTAGTAAAGATTCAGAATTAGAAATTTCATGGGGGATTGGTTTACAAGAAAAAGTTCAAAAGTCAGTTGATGAAAAATCAATGAAAAATTTGACACCATTCCAGAAAATGATGGAAAAAAAGAAAGAGAGAATGAAAGAAAAACAAAAACTAAGGAAAGAAACAAATGTAGGTAAAGATATTGAAAATDATTCAGAGAATGAAGAAAAACAATTAAAACAACAAGCAGAATTAGAATTATTATTAATGGATGAAGAACCTAGTGATAAACAACATTTTAATATGAAAAAAATTCAAGAAAAAGAAACTAAAAGCTCAAAAAAAAAGAATAAAAAGAAAATTTTAAATGAGAAATCTGGCAGTGATGCTTTTTCTGTAATTGCCAAATTATTAAACAATCATTGATTTATTTTTTTTGATTCATATTTATGTTTTTTAGGTTGATGTAAAAGATGA